TGTAACTCGTATATTTAACCGTCGTGTTTTCAAAATGTTAAATGACTAGACCTGGTCTCTGTTTATAAAGTTAACTCCCTATGAACCGGATGAGGTTTGGATCCTCGTAATGGACTTGTCACAAATATTAAACATTATTGTTTGCTTACAGATTAAGTTTACAAAATCTGTCAAAGAAAGAATGATATGAGTTCACTAGATTTCTTGCTATCTTAATAAAGTATTGATGCCAATGTATTTGGACAAGTATCGGAAATAACACTCAGCCTTAAGCAAAATATTTGGCCTTTCCCGCTTACGTATAATGACGTCATTATGTCACATGACCGCTCTCTTGACGAGTTGTAACGGAGCGCTATTCTAGCAAGTGCACTATTCTAGCAAGTGCACTTATCACACGGTAGCTCTCAAACAAGCGACCAGAATGTCCCTCGCGACACTCCTCTCCATGTTCTGTCTGATTTGTTTCCTTCCACAACAAGCCAACGGTATGTTTCTATTCCTATAACGCTTTTTGTTTAATGGGTGGACCCATATTAGGGTATTTTTTCGGCTTTAAGCCTGCAGCTTGACAAACTTTCAACGAAATTTATATCAGAAACACGTTCACACTCCCGTAAATTCAAGCGGACTTCAACCCAGCTTTGTTCAAGTCATTCTCAGGCTGTGTAACGAAGTTATTGCCTTGTGGCGCACAGTTTAGGTAGGCATAGGGAACAAATAAAGTTAGATTTGGTTTTTCATCTGGAACACGAAAAAGCTACAAATTGTTCAATAAGGTGATCTTATTAAATTACAAAAATCGTTGTTACTGAGAAACACTTAGAAGCGCAAATTAAATAGGGGTTGGAGTTTTTTTCGATGCAGTTAACTTTAAATGTAAGGAAATCAAATTGAAAACAGCGAAGATCTAGATCCGAAGATGAAGAGGATGCTGAGATAAAGAAATTCATTCACTTCAGTGCAGTTTGAATTGAGGTTTTCTTTTTTTAAATAAAAAATGAATTGAAAAAAATGGACCATCTTATGCGCTTTTTATTTTAGCATAGATTTCCTCTCTTTTACGTGTACAATCACGAAACCTGAAATCCCAAAAAAGCCACTGGTCGAAAAGTGTTTGTACAGACGCAGTCAACATTTGACATGGAAAGACAAACTCAAGCGGTGCAGAATTTATTTCCTTTTGTAATTGCCTACTCTTTGGATACTTTATGAACTTTAGAAGTGCTTCATTCAACTTAATTTCCTTTTTCCGGCCGTTAGCTGATTCTGTGTTTAACAAATGCATTACACGAATTGTGAATTGCGATTTCAACGCGATGCGGCAAATTGCCTCAGGCTAACTAACTCAAAGTGAATGAGTGACTTTTTTCCAGTGTGTTTAAGCAGGTGTGGGGTGATGTATAAACAGTTAAAGGAATAAAAAAAGGCAATGCTTCATGTAGTGATGGGAATTGTTGCTTTTATTGTTGATCATAAATCTTTACCCACTCTTTATTGACAAAATTAAATGTTACTCATAAATGAGATTGATTATACTGGATAACGGAGTTTGGTTTTCTGAGCTCGCCTAATGAGAAAATTCACTGTTTTGTTTGATTCTGTCGATTATTAGGCATGACAGCTCCGTCATATGGCTGACACAGGTGTCACTAGTGACAATAATTGATTTCCACCAAGTTTACGACTTCTGAAAAAGCATTCGCGGTAGTGCCTTCATTCTAAATTTCACTGGCGTGTCCTGAGGAAAAGTACAGGCGTTATCTGATATTTCGTGTGTGGCTCTGGGTTGCAAACTATGGTGTTTGTGGCATGAAGGGGCTCTCTCTTTCCTTTACAGGATTGTTATCCTTTCCCATGTCTCCCCTACAAAATTAGATCTTGTGACCTACTGTCAAACTAAGAGCAAAACCCAAAACCATAAACGTCACTTCCGTTCACTACTCGTGCTTAGATTACCCACTATTCATATGGAGACCGCTGAATCGCCATCCACCAGTTCTCGTACAATGTTCATTACCTATAGATGAGGGTCCCAATAAGTTCGGGATCCGGGACTGAGCTTATTTGAAGGCCGGGATCCGGGAAATTAGACTGAGAAGGAAGCAAGATGTGGGATTGTTATTATAAAGGGCACACGGGAATTGGCGATTTTCAGGGGCAGAATTCAGGAAATAATCACTTAAATGAACCGAGAACCGTTGTCGAGAATTTATAACGAAATTGATCTACGCGCTTCTCTTCTCCCCACATACGCGAAATTAAAGTGAAAAGCGATCCCCAAAAACGCCTGCATGGGAGGCTGAAAAAAACCGCAGAAAGGTTTGTTGTGACAGTTTTATTGCGCTGTTTTCATTGCGACCCTTTGATGATATCTGGACGTTCTGAGCCTTGCCCTGTCCTGTAATAGTGACCTTTGATTTCTTGGTGACTGACCAATTTACCTATATCAGAGAGAGATTTAGACGAGTGAACCGGTCAGCCTCGGACGAGTAGCATGAAAAACAGCCTGAGCAGTCAACAAGACGAAGAAGAAGTTAGGGATATTAGAGTACGATTATCCAAGCAGTGATGAAAAATCGCAAGGGTCACTTTCCGGACCACGAGACCGCATGTTATGATACTGACATTCCATGTTTGGAGTGAGAGGCTGATTTTCTCCTCGGAAGATGGTCTCTCGATACGGAAGAAGTATTCACTTCGACAGCAGAATTTTTCTCTATTTCCCTTGTTGTGAAACTATCGGATTGTACGGTCCCCTTTAGTTATGTTATGCACGTTTCGACCTTGTTGTTCGTTTCGTTAGTACTGACTCTTCTTTCCGTGATCGAAGTTAAACGGAAGGAACAGGGACTGCGCAGAGGGAGGGGGCTGGGGCTTAAGCCTCTCAACTTTTTTTTGAAACAACTTGTTCTGCTAGGCATATCTGCACCCCCTAACCTTGTTGGCTGAAGCTTATGCATTTGTTTTTAATTAGCCCCCTACTCAAAAATTTGCTGCGCAGGCCCTGTGGAATTCATTACCGTGAGCGTACGTTATTTGTGCAAAAATTTGGAAACTTCTAAAATTAACGATATTATCGTTTTGGTAAAAAGAGATGAAATTTCGCCTAACGGTGAGCAAAGAATACAACAGATCAATCCTGGTCGAGAAAAGTATCACCTACCAAAAGGGCTCTTTTGATTAAGGCAATGGACTAAGAAAATCATATACGATCGGGATCGGGATTGGCCGGTATAATCGGTCGGGCGTACAGGATTGAGAGAACATTTTAGTCGGGATCGCGGGATTGGAGAACCCTTTTGGGGACTCTCATAAATCTGAAACATAAGTTTTTTGGCATGCACTGTTGGATAAAATGAGTTTTTTCTTCTTCTACCTGTTATTTCTAATGCAAACAAATCTTCAAATATTAGAGATAATTATGCTTCATATGGTTTTTATAAGATTGAATTCACCTCTGAATAATTAATATACTGACAGCCCTTCTTTTTTGTGGATAACTTTAGACTTTGCGGTTAGTTCCTTGTTATTTGGAACTTTTTAAGCTGCGTTACCTCTCTTTTCAGATGCATGTTTCATTAGGTACACATATTTGCTCAGTTCCATTTTGCATAAAGGTAAATTGCCATTCACACGGGAAAAACCATGTCCTACCTAATGCAGCTTGATAGCTTCCGGTCAGGTACTCTTTGCGTCAGTCCCAACTACTGTGAGCACTCTCAAGTGGACGATCAGATACCAAGATCTACTGCGTGCATGTGTTTCTTTACTAATAGGAACTTTTGCTATATAGCTTTGAATGGCTTAGTTGAAACAGTTATTCCTTAAGTTCACCCATGGTCTTCTCTTAAGGTTAACTCCGCCGCCATTGATGATGAACGTTGCAAAAGTTTTGTGTGACTTGTGTTCAGTTGTCAATGAGTAAACTAATCACGTTAAGATCTCTCAGTTTATGTGCCACAATGTAAATGGACTCTGCTTTCCTTTCCCTGCAGGCCAGCAGATATGGCAGCAAATCAACTTAGCCCCAGTCTGCTTTTATGCCTCGGGACAAAAACCCGGCGAATTCCACTATTTCGGTGATGGAAGGCTTGTTGCTGCAATCAAACTTGTTTATCGCACTGGGCTTGTAAGATGTGAAAAGAATACCGCTTATAATAGTCGCTGGGGTTGCTATCACCATAGTGGTTACGTTAATTACCCGCTAAATGTCGTGATAACAGATCGACATAATAACATACTATTTCCTCTGGAGAAGTTCATTAAAAATGCCGGCCTTTGGTACTATCTTCCATTTACTGACGCTCTTCATTCCGATGAACTTGTGTTCACAAACTATGAGAGCCCATTTTACCTCCCGAAGGGCGCGACTATGAAAATCTGGTACGGAGAGGACTTGCGAAAATGGCGTAACCATGACAACGGTGGAAGGGTCTGTGTGGATGTATACGGACACCTACAGTGAATACGAGCATCTTTGAACACTTGATTTGTGCTTCAAATGTCAAACTTTTAAATTTTCTGTTGAAACTGAGAAATTTAATCAAGCGACACAAAAGTCAAGATTTCAAGTTAAATGATTAACTGTGATGTAGCCAAAGCATGTAAGGAGTCAATAAAATTCAGCACAAACCGTAGAACATCTACTGTCATGAAAACGATATCGTGAAGTTGTTAAAGTAGCTTCACTGAATTTAAGGAAGCTGTATGGAGTTGTATGTAATATGGAGATATTTACACTTCTGAATTAACACTGCTAAGCTATTTGCTTTGGGTAAAAGTGTATTACATGATGGCTGCGGAAAATTCAATTCGATAATTCGCCGTTTTTTTTAAGGAACATGAATTAGAGAGCCACGTAGAAGGAAAAAGTAGACGAGGAAATGAGGGAAAAGTTGGATACCGCTCAACGGGAGCGAAACCTCAAATTTTGAAGTTACTGCAGTTAGATGTATCTCTTTGAATTTTCAATTCTTTTTCCTAGTTGGTTATCATTTTACTTTTCTGGCCTTTTTCCCCTTCATTGTACCCGTTAAACGATTTCTTTTTTTCGCATTTCCACACGCAGCGACCAAAGATAACCCAGTTGCTCTTTGGGCTAATATCAATCAGAATCCTGTGTGTTTCCACGCAAAAGGGCGACGGCCTGGAATGTTTCATTACCTGGGTGAGGGCAAGTTAGTTGGTGCAATGAAACTTGTCTTTGTTCGAGGCTCTGTAAGGTGTACTAATGATCCTAAATTCAGCAGTCGATGGGGTTGCTACCGTCATCCCGATAACGCCAGGTATCCTCTGAACGTTGTGGTCACAGATGCGGACGACCATGTTATCTACCCCATCGAGAAATACATCATGAAGACAGGCCTATGGTATTACTTGCCTTTCACAGACGCTACGAGCTCTAATCAACTGGTGTACACCGACTATGCCAATCCCTTTTATCTAGAAAAGTACACAATGATGAAGATTTGGTATGGAGAGGATTTAATGAATTATGATAATCATGACAATAGAGGCAGAGTGTGTGTGCATGTGTGGGTGCACCTTATGTAAAGAAAAAAATTATTTATGATTGTCTTGACTGTGACACTCAGTTACAATAAACTAAATAGCAACAAAGAATATAGCCAATCAGATTACAGGATTTGCTTTGAACTGCAGTAATGTCTGCCAAAATACACTTATTAATAACAGTAGTTTCAACTTATGTATTTCAATAATTACATTTTATTAGCTTAAGTTACCCATTTATGCTATACTTAAGTTAAGCTGGTGACTGTTTTGAATATCTAATTTAATAAGGCTGTTAAAGATCAGAAGTCTCTCAGGAAGCACTAGTTAAAATGAACACTTACTTTAAGTTAAAATCAAACCACCAATAGCCAACTTGTATTTTTTTACTAATGACAAGCAATTTCTAATTTAATACTTTGCAGATAACAAATATCCACATTATCACAGGCACAGGAGCTAAAAAGAAGTATAAAATTTCAAAATTTCAAATTTCAAAGATAGATTATACAGTAGCATTCAGCTTTGATTAATTTCTGTCTGTTCTTTCACCATCCATTTCTTGTCCATAAACTTAGTGATTTCAGAATTAACTATTGGATGATCCAGTCTGTCTTTCCACAACCTGTCAATCTGAACAGAGACAGATAACTCATGATCACTATTCTACCACCACACAGGTCAATATTGTTTATTTTAACATAACCAAAGTAAAGCGAGTGCTCTGATTGGTCAATTTAGCGTCCCCCATTTGCCCATGGGTGTACGCTGCTGATGTGAGCAAATGCAAAGACTATTTTTCTGCGTGCGCTTGTTTTTTCTGGTCGCGTAAGATTTGTTAAATAAAAGGGAACTCTTTAGCTACAATGTAWCAATGTTATGTTATAAAACAAATGGTAAACACCACAGCATACACTATTGAGTTATGGATGCACTTGGGAGGTTTGCTAAGCACTCAAGAAGCTAGAGTCGCTCTCGGCTATCACCTCGAGCGACTCTTACGCTTCTTTTGTGCTTAGCAACCTCCCGCGTGCATCCATAACTCAATAGTGTACACTGTGGTGTTTACCATTTGTTAAATTTGCCCAGATTTTTTTGGGATGATCCACAAGTTTGGCATAAGATGTGACATTGATTTGGCATCATAACACAGACACACAATTAGGTTTCTGTGCAGCACCAAAGAAAAGAAAAATTCGTTGCAAACCAAGCAAAGTGAGAACAGCTACCTTGACAAAAAGCTTATCAAACCCCCTAACTTAAGCTCTAGAGGGAAAGGACCAAATCTGTTATTTTTATGTTATCTTGATGTGGTTTTAGACACATGTCAATCACTAAATCATTTCTACATAAAAGATCATCATAAATAAGTTAGCAACTAACCAGTGGTTCTGTATTCCATCCAACCTCCTGAGCTGATGTTTGTGGGAATTTGAATTTCTTAACTGGTGTTTCATTAGACTTTTTGATGACCTCTAGGAAATTGTCTGAAGGTATATAAGATAACAATATCATGCCGTGAAGCTTCACATTGCATTTCTATCATGATGTCAATTAATAGAGATTTGCTTTCAACCTAAATGAGGTCAAATGACCCTCTTACTGGCTCTTGTCTAGATGGTAAGTACCTTTGTATTGCAAATTCAGTACTTTGCATGTTAAAAGAGCAGAAATTTACTTGAAAACATTTACAGTACCTTAAAGATTAATTTTTCTCATGATTCTGGAAATAAAATGATAATCCGCACTGTCCTGGATTCTTAACAGAGTCACATGAATGTTTGGAAAAACGGCATGGGGAAAGAGTACCATATAACCCCATACGTTAATTATGCATTCAGACTAGTAGACTTTGTTTTTAAAGTTTTGCCGTGAAAGACAAAGAAGTGGAATGCATAATTAATGCATGGGGTTATATGGTACTCTTGCCCGTCATGGTATTCTATTGGTTTTAATAGATATCCACATGAATTTGAAATATGTTTTTCTCAAAAAATGCAATTCCTGGCCTTGCTGTCCTAAGCTAGGATTAAAAATGTAACGTTGCCATCTATTTAGCTTTACGTTTTCACACTAGTTTTGTAATTGTGCATTAGTTTCTTATTAACAGAAAAATTGAAATTGGACGGATCTAGAGAATAACGCGTACATGTACATCTACAGTGGGTTAATAATCTATATTTTTGTTTGAAAATACGAAGTTACTCTACAATTCATCATGCTGCATACAACGTCATCTCGGTACAGTGAACAGCAAGGTCTGTGTTATCTGCTGTTCTTCTAGACTAGTAGACACTACTGTGGTGCATGGACACGAATTAAAACCAACATTTCACCTACCATCTTCTTCTCCATCTGCTGAATCGTGGACAGAATTCGGTTTTCCAGTAAGCGTATACACTTAAAGAAAAACAATTAAGTTTAAAAACATTTTATCGCAAACAAGGGAACCTTGGAAAACAAAGTTACTAGTTGGTATTCCTGATCGAATTGCTTACTTTTCTTAAACGGGTTTATGCTGTAGTTGGTGTATAATTTGTGATTTTTCTGCTCCTTCTGGATTGTTTCGCACAAAATGGCATTTTGATGAACATAATTTACTTCAGCATTTCCTTTGGATCCCATTGTTTTGCTTTTGTTTGCCATTTAGTTCCCTCAGCCGCACACTTCTCGCTGAGTTGACCAACAAACTCAACTAAATCCAAAATGGCGTCAGTTTCTTCTTATCCGTAGTCATGGAAACCTAACTAGGTTCAAGCTTCACGCGGCGAGTGATCACTGAGTAAGACCGGGACGTTTAAAACTATAACACCAAAAAAAATCACATTTCCTTCCCGACTTCTCAAAATCATGCCAACAATTTATCACTATGATTTTCCCTCCTATTTAATGGAAAGTAACAGCCTGGAATATTATTTTTTAGTAAAACCGATTCGTTGCAAGTGGATATAGTGATTGTTCGTGTGTTATTCTAAATCAAATGCTAGTTGGACAGATCAATAAGTCTTCTACTCTGGTCAGATTCTCTTTTTCGTCGGTAATGCCTTCTTACTGACCTGAAAACGTCCGGTCAAAGGTGGATTATTTTAGACTTTCTATGATTGCTGAGATATTGTAGCTTGTGTTCCGCTGTCGTTAACCTTAGCTAGCCAACAGCCATCAAAAGTTAACTTCCTCAATCCAATATGCTTTTTTGCTGCAGCAGCAGATCTGTCCCTAGAGGCCACTTACAAGTCATCAGTAATGACCATCTAGCCGTTAAGTTCTTTTCTAAAATAGTGTACCGCTATGTTGTAATACCAAACTTTATTGAACTATAGAAAACAAACTGTTCAACGACACACTAGAACCGAACCGAACACGACACTGAAGTAACTATATCAATCTCGTCCCAGACTACTGCGGACAATTATTACAATAGTAATAGAAGTATGATGCACGATCCTCGCAGTGGAGAGCGCTATTTATGCAATAGCGAAAAGCAGACCTGAAAAAAATCAGGCCTGTACGGGATTCGAACCACTGACCTATGAATACTAGTGCAGCAGATACTAGTGCAGCGCTCTACCAATTGAGCTAACAAGCCAACTGGGAGCCATCCTCGGAGACCCAGGGGCTGTGAGTCGATTTCAAGTTAGGGCAGAAGAGCCCCTGGGGACATTGTCTTACAAGACTAGTTCAAACGGTCGCAGTCGTTCTGGCATCTGATTGGTGCCAGAAAATCTTTGTGTTTTCTGCCCAATCAGACTGAAGTGTGCTTTAGAGTCCTTTCGTGTGTTTTAACACGGATATATACAAGAAGCTCAGTTCCTCG